ACTATCCACCTGATCAAATTAGCAGGCAGGCTAGCCCTTTCAGTGCATCTTAACTATTTCTGAAGACAGATGGGAAGTTTGGGATGAAACTCATTTTTTGTTATTTCAAATAGAGTTACTCAATCACAAATTTTAATTTAAACCCAAATTTTAAATCCTTGGTTTAAGGTTTGGGGAAGGCTCTAGGAGCCACTTCCGCTGTACCGTAGTCTGTACCGCTGCACAGTTTCTCAGTACTTCTGGGAACTTTTTTTCTCAGCCACACAAACACGTACAACGCAAAGTCATCCTGCCCTTGCCATCAACAACATAAAATGATCAACAACCTCGCAATCCTTACTTACCACGTGTCATGCGTTGAATGGCCAAGTTCTCATCCTGCATGACACGTCAGCACCACCCTCCACCCAAAAGGCACCAGTCAATTTGCACCTGCTGAAGCTAAGGCTTGTAAAGCCTTGCATCATCCTAGAAAGAAACAAAAGTTCTGCATAAACCATCCATCCATCCATCTCTAAGGTCATATGATGTTTCAGGCTTTTCAGTCAGTTTTCTGAGACCCCCAAAGAGTGTTTCTCTGCTTCTTGCATATAATTATGCCATGGAGGCCCTCAATGCAGCAAGCTTGACCCCCCTATCTGTTCTTGGTGACAGAAAAAAAGAACCCAGAAAATTTCCATCACTGCCCACCATTTCCCTACCCAAATTCTCAAATTCCACAAGTCTTAGCACCACCCCACAAGCTTCACAGGAGTCTTCATCTAGGAGCTTTCATGGTGGCCTGTTGCTTTTATCTTCTGTTTTCAATACCGGGTTTGCCAAAGCTTTGACATATGAAGAAGCATTGGGGCAATCTGTGAGTACCTTTACAGGTGGAGACTTGGAAGCAAGTGGGATTCTTGATAATGTTACTGCTTTTGTGACTGAGAACCCTGCAGTTATAGCTGGTGGTTTTGCCATTTTGGCTGTTCCCTTGGTTTTGTCTCAGGTTCTGAAGCCTCCCAAGCCATGGGGTGTTGATACTGCAAGAAGTGCTTATGCAAAATTGGGTGATGATGCCAATGCTCAGTTGCTTGATATCAGATCACCAGCTGAGGTTAGGCAAGTTGGTACACCGGATGTCCGGGGTCTGGGGAAGAAGGCGGTGCCAATTGTTTACAAAGGTGAAGATAAGCCAGGTTTCTTAAAGAAGCTCTCTTTGAAGTTCAAGGAACCAGAAAATACCACATTGTTCGTCCTAGATAAGTAAGATTTAACACCCCAATTCTATAGTTTTTTCTTTCCTCATTTCTTATGAATTACTCATCAATTGCTGAGGGTATTCCAAAAGATACTATCAAATGCCTGCTAGTGTCCATTATGCAATTGGTTTATGTAGGCATCACTATTTTTACAGCAAAAGGAAATTTTACATGATAATGTACATTATGCAATTAATTCACACAAACAATTAATTTTGAGAAGGAACAATTTACATGAAGAAGATATTTCACACAATGCAACTCATTTTTCACTTAAAAGACCTTGGTTTTCCTACAATTGCTAGTGCAACAATATCAACTTTGGTTGTGACAAGCAATGCTTCCAGTGGGGGGGGAAAAGGGATGGAATCAAGCTGAACTAAATAACTTCGTATAGTAAATAAATGAGATGGGAAAAGAACTGCTTGTTGACATTCCAATTTTAGTTCTATCATGAACTGGATCCTGACTGTATCGTTGTTTCCTTGACTTCCATTTTAACATGCTTGTGATGTTGTGACTGGATTTTTGTTATTCCAAAAGCCAATATATGAAGCTAATGCTGCTGAATTTCTGATGGAAGCCAGATTTGATGGGAACTCCGAACTGGTTGCAGAGTTGGTCACTGTAAATGGGTTCAAAGCTGCGTATGCCATAAAAGATGGCGCAGAAGGACCCCGGGGATGGGTGGTCTGTCCCATTTACCTTCCACAGTTACTCCTTTCTATGCAAGTCTTAACAAGTTTTAGTACCTTGACACGGATTATAATTTTGCAGAATAGCAGTCTTCCTTGGACACCACCAACAAAATTACTGTCTCTTGATTTTGGCAATTTAGCGGATGCTATTGGTGATGCCGTTGGAGTAATTATCATGATTTTCATTTGTTGTTTGCTATATTTCAATTATAATGCATATGTGGAAATCTATTGCCTTGTTGAACTATACGGTGCCATTTGACCTCTATCTTGTACTTTTCAACAGGGATGTTATTAGTTGAAGACAGATGATAAAAGTTTGATAGCCTTAAAAGTTTAGTAGAAATGCTTAGATAGATAGAAAATGTGGGTGGAAATAAAAAACGAAAAGGCAAAATGAAGTCATAATAGAACACCTGCATGAATTTGAAACATCCACACCACCCCTAGTTCATATTTTCTTAAAAAAGGATCTGTTGATGTCTGCCATTGTTCACTAATTCCCTAGTTAATGATTCTCTTCAAAAGAATTTTGATTCTTTTAGCAGGATTCTTACATAGCTATGTGGTAAATTATGTACAGGAGGGATCAGGTGCCTTGTCTGTTTCCCTTGGGATTGCTGCAGCAACTGGATTGGGTTTATTGGCTTATACTGAGGTTGGGCTGCTATGTCTATTGCATACTGAATTTATCTTTTGATTTGCCTTTTGGTGTGATATGTATCCTTGTAGAAGAGCTTCCAAACTGATTGTTTCACTCTACCTTTCTAGTTAGAAACAATCCTCCAAGTCTTAGGCTCAGCTGCACTAGTTCAGTTTGCGAGCAAGAAACTCCTTTTTGCTGAGGTGAGTCTCCTATTTTATTTTTTATTTTTTTTACTTTCAAGAAGTTATTTGATGGAAGTTTTACTGTGGTTGATAAGAATGTAAATCTTTGAAATAACACATATTACCCAACATTCATCTTCCTGGCTAATACGGCATGTTTCCCCTTAGTTATTTTCAGTCTTACAGTCTGCATCCTTCCAATTTAAATTATCCTTTTGACAAAGGTCAAACTCATCATATTGAAGCTGCAAAGCTCATGCATGCATGTTTGTGTTGTATGTATCTCCTTAATCATAGAGAGAAGTTATTGTCTTAAATAAGAATTGAAAACTTAAGGATTAACATTCAACTTCACATCACCTAAGTTGTTTTTTTTCTGATAGGATCGAAAAGCAACTCTACAAGAAGTTGATAAGTTCTTAACCACCAAGGTTGCCCCCAAGGAGCTTGTTGATGACATAAAGGTATGAGATTATAAATTTGTTTTCAGCATTTTCAACAGATTCTTCAATTAAATGCATCATAGACTAGAGATCTTTTTGTTTTTCCCTTTTCTTTTGACAATTGGAATATACTAAATTCCATTGTCTTTATCAATTTCCTTGAATTTCAGCAAATTGGCACAGCTCTTCTGCCAGTGTCTGTGACTAGCAAAGGTCTTCCTGCACCTGCAGAAGCAACCCCAGAGCCTACTGCTGCTAATGATACTGTACAGAAAGCAGAAGCTGCTGTGGAGCCTAAAGTAGAAGCAGCTGCAGAAGCTGCTCCTGAAATAAATTCAGTACCCAAACCAGAAGTTAAAGCAGAATCACTTCCTGGGATTTCAAAACCACTTTCTCCATTCCCTTATGTAATTCTTCACTTCAGTTGCTATTTGATATATTTTTTAATTTTATCAAGCCTCATGATGATTGAATATTTTGTGGAAGACTTGACCAAATCTTGATTCTTTTGTGTACTTATGGTTGCAGTATCCCGATTTCAAGCCTCCAGCTTCTCCCCGCCCATCCCAGCCCTAGAGACATATCTCAAAGCAGCAAGCTGTTTATCTAGGAATCTTCAGAGCTACACAATTAGTTGTGCAACTTATGCTCCTGTTGCTGTGTTACATGAAGTTTTGGAGGCTACATTTCTCTGAAGATATAGAACACTCATGAGTTGGATAAAATAGTTTTCCATAAGTAGCCCTCTTCTTGCGTTTATTTTACTGCTTAAATACACTATTTGTAAAATCAGGTGGATATTTGTAGTTTTCCATAAGTAGCCCTCTTCGTGTATTAGCTCTGTTTGGATCCTCCATAAATGGTATCTCTGAAGAGTTTTTGGAACAGGCATAATATATGACTCTGATTGCTTGCCTAGTAAGAGCAACTACTAGAAATAAAAAAGTAAAAACAATAATACAAATTTATAAATAAACCCAATTCTAGACATGTATTTATAAAAAAACCCAAGCACTATTTAAACATAGAAACATACCCAAAATCAACCCCAAAGTCAACTTTTTGGGTGTGTTTATAAATGAGTTTTGAGTGTGTGTAACGATGGGTTTTGGGTGTGTTTATATGTTTAAATAGTGCTTGGGTTTTTTTATAATTTCAACCTACAGAACTTTACCTCATTGGGTTGTTTTTTCGGTGACTGAAGCAAACCGGTTTTATTCTTGAGAGAGTAGCAAAACTTGTCGAAAATTTCTTCGCCTTTCTTTAAATTTTAAAATTAAGTGCAAAGGTGGACTCACTGCAACTTATTGAAATTTAAGTGTAGGGGAGAGTAAACAATTTGGTTTAAGAAACGAGGGGAAATTTACAAGTTTTTTTTTTTCCTTTATTTCCAAGGGAAAATAATTGGACTATTGCATTGGTGCCTCGAAAAAACTGGCCGTCGTCAACTTTTCACATTTAAGAAAAATTATTACCGTTGGACTCCTGATGTTTTCAGTTTTCTTTTTATTTATTTATTTAATATATTTTCTTTTGCAGTTTACCATCCCCGTTGTAAACTTGTCACACATGATACCGTTGGAGATCATTTTGCTGAGGTGGCAATCCAATTTTGTTTTTTGTTTTTTGACCTATGCCTCAACGACAGCAAAACGTCACCGTTTCTAGTGATGCACTGCATTCTCAAACGGACGCGAAATCAAAATGCAATCGAGCGGGAAGTATTTTTATTTTCACTTAATTACTAAAATCAGAAATGTTTTAATTTCTATTTCGCAGTTGCTAAGTTGGTAGGTGCAGAGCAGATGATGCCTCTGAGGCTCTTACTCTGAGTCTGAGAGAGCTTCAACAAATAGAAAACTGACTTTTGCTCTGAAAAAAAAGCTGTCTTCTCTTTAGTTTGGCTTTCCCTCTCTTTCTTTCTGTGCTTCAAACTCCGCGCTCCAGAAATCAATGGCGAGAGTCAAACATACAGCTAACCGGAAAGACAATAAATCTTCTCGCAACCAACCTGCTCTCTCTCTCTCTCTCTCTCTCTCTCTCTCTCTCTCTCTCTCTCTCTCGTTTATATGCTTTTGTAATTTGTTTGTATGCCTTGAGGATTATGATTTATGCGTTTCACAAACCCTAATTTTCTCAGTCTTGATCTACAGGCGGACGCTCACCGGCGGCATCACCTGCAACACAACCGGTACTCTCTCTCTCTCTTTCTCGTTAATTTCGGCTGTTGTTTTTCATGTGTTTGGTTACTTGGAAAAGTTGGGAAAGAGGAGTGCGAGGAGGGGAATCGGGGAAATTGGTTTGGGAATGATTAAATTTCTTTACCTGCATTTACTTATTTGCCGAACGGAGCTTAGTGTTGGGTGCTAATTCTCCGGTTTGTTTGTTTGTAATTTTTTTTTTTTTTGTTGCACTTTAATGATATTTGGTGGAACAAATTACTAGTCTATTCATTTTTTCTGTTTGGTTGCTATGGAAACATTGGTTAGTAGAAACTATGTAAATAAGAAAGGAAAAGCATTCAAGCAAGGTGCATATGGTTTATGTCTATTATATCATTGATTTTTTTTTTTTAATTAAAAAAAAAAATTCTATAGCATTTAAGCCATTGACAAAACTTAGTATTCTATTTTTGGTTTATGTATATTCTTTTATCTCATTTCTTATTATTTGAATAAAGTCAATAGTTGACCTACTCGAGTTAAAATCATATTTGAGGGGAGTGTTTCAATATGAATCTATAGTTAGTCTATATCATAGTTTTAGCTCTTGAATGTAGTGGTAAACCAACAAAACTTATCACTTATCTGTAATCTGGTGACGAAAGTTTTATATTTATAATTTTGACATTCCTTATTGGCTTATTTTACTTTTATATTTTTAATAAATTGAAGGAACCTTCTGGAAGAACGCAGAGATCAGAGAGGAACAGCCCGACAAGTACATATGCTTTCCTTATTTTATCTGTTTTTAGATTTGTTTGTTGTGGACAATGGAGGTGGTGAGGGTAATGGAAATAAGTTGATTTTGAATGATTGTTGTTGTTACATCTATAGCTCCAGGAACACAGAAGAAGAAGCGACCTCAGAGGAATGCTCCCACAAGTAAATATATATATTTTGCATATTTATTTATCTGTTTCTCTATTTGTTTGATGCTGATAATTGTGGTGGTAATGATAGTAGTGAAAATAAGTTGATTGTGAACGATTATTTGTTGTTGCATCTATAGCTCCAGAAACGCAGAGGAAGAAGCGGCGTTTCAGGCCAGGAACAGTGGCTCTTCGGGAGATTCGTCACTTCCAGAAGACATGTTCGTTGCTTATCCCAGCTGCTCCTTTCATCAGAGCTGTGAGTCCTTATCCCGCTGATTGATGTATATACGCACAGGGGCTTGTGCAAATAGGTACATGAGGCCCACACAAAAGGACATGAACATTTAGATAAGAAATGTTAGGTAGTGTTAGTGCTAGGAGTTAAATGCTGAGTCAGCTAGTTTTGGCAATTATCTGTTTGCACAATCAGAGAACTTTTTATTTGTTGGCATGGAAACTCAGTTTTGTGTTTTCAATTTATTCATGATGTTTGTGTACTTGCAGATTTAACAAATTCTGTTCTCCTTCTGATGTCGATTTGATTTTCTCATTTTAGTTTGTATAAACAAGTTGAACTTTACATCTTTGCAATCTCAGAGTTAAGTAAGCCTTGTTAGTCAGGCTAACACTGGATTGTGCAAAAGAATATGCTTTCTTTCTTTGTTAACTTTGTGTGGTTGATATTATCTATTAAATTTGATGGACTAATTATGCTAGTGAGGTTTGATCACACAATGCTGACAATTTTGTCACTAATTTTAGGTAAGAGAGGTCTCCAACAATCTGTCTCATGGTTCTATACGTTGGACACCTGATGCTTTATTGGCAATTCAAGAGGTGAATAAATGTTTTAATTTTATTTGAATGGCAAGTGAATGTGGTTGCATGTAACAGAATAACCATGCAAAGGCTACTTGTCTTACCCCCTTCCTCTTTTCAATCTGTTTAATAAACTAGTAAATGTCTGCATTCCAATTTCAGTAAGTCCTAGCATCATTTTGTTTATCTATCATCTTGTTTATCCAATTTGAGACTCGATGAGTGATGCTATGCCATAGGTACCATAAGCATCATGGAAGTGCATTGTATACTTCCTTCCAATTTTCTGTTTATTGTATGCTTTGATTACACAATGGCATTACTGCCAACCCAAGATTCTTAAGGCCTTACTCATTCTGTTGAAACTAGAACACTGTTCTTGATAACAATCTATAGTTTCTTGTTTACTACCACTATTGTTCTACTCAACAAATCAAGCCTATCCAACAAACTGCTTGGATTTGGTTGCAGGAATTTCTTTTCATTATCCCAAGCATACCATGTAACCATAGGCCACTATAGCAATCCTTTGTGCAAGCCATTCAAGTACTTACTATAAATTATTAGAAGACAAATTAATCATGTTCATGCTTATTGGTATTTTCTTCTTTTGTAGGCAGCAGAGGATCATTTAGTTCATCTGTTTGAAGATTCCATGCTCTGTGCAATTCATGCAAAGCGTGTCACTCTTAGTAAGTAAATTTGAAATTTGTGTAATTAATTGATGTTTTCCTTCAAAGGACAGATTATATTCAATTTAATGAATCTTTGGTATTAGAGGAGCTTCCTTAAATGAAAGATGATTTAGCATTTCAAATGCCTGTTTCAGCAGCACTAATCTCTTTTGGGACCATGATTTTAAATACTATACTTATGGAAAATGAGTTTTGATGCACTCAAAAGGGATGTGCAGTACTACTTTCTGTATCATTTGATTAACCATCCAATAAGCTGTTGTAATTGCCCTAAATGTGTCAAACCTTTATCAGTTGGCACTGTTACATCTTCTACTTTGAGTTTCAGCCAGTCTTTGACGGTTGTACCATTACATTGCACACAATATTGTAACAAACCTGTTTCATTTGCTTTTGTTTCCTCAGTGAAGAAGGATTTCGAGCTGGCTCGTCGAATTGGAGGTATAGGGAGGCAGTGGTGAGAGCATCACGACCTCAACCGACACCATAATCACTGATCATAACAATTTTAAAAACAATGGGATTTGTTCTCTGGTAGTAGCCAATTTTATTTTTGTTGTTGTAATTTCTTAGAACTAGGAAGTAGGCAGCAAACTCGACTCATAGTACTGTAGTTATGTATACTGTCACCGAAAGAAAAAACAAAAGTTGAAATAATCTGTTTCCCAAGAATCATCCTGTATGTCAGATTTCGATCAATAGGACGTATTATTGCAATTGTCGCTGGATCATTAGACTCTAAACCATTTGTTTGTTTGGCTCTTTGACTTTAAGTTTGATTGAAATTCAACTTCCCGTTGTGTAGTTTATTTGTGGGTTGGCTATTGTAAACTACACTATTTTAAAAGCACTTTTGGGTTAATAATCAAATCAAATGGAATTTTACAGTTATGCCATCCATGTAATTACATAAAAACCAAACCCTTTCAGAAACAGTTTTCTTCAGAAAATACTTGGTAGACGCAAAAGAATCAAAAGGTAGAGAGAGAGAGAGAGAGAGAGAGAGAGAGAGAGAGAGTCCAGAAAGTTCTAGAAGTCTTGGGCACGAAGAAACAACCTTGACTTCCCGCTAGCGCGCTCCAATCCCTAAACTGTTTTAACTCCCACCCGTTCCTATAAATACCACCTACCTCTCATCCCATCTCTCCCCCCTCAAATTCCCGAAAATCACAGAAAAGCTTACAGAGCAACCAAACAACAACAAAAAATCTCAATTTTCTCACTAGGATTTCTAGGGTTTGTTCGTCGTTGGTTTTCAGATTCTCAAGGTACGTCTTCTACTGCATGCTCATTGATTATGCTTGTGATCTGCGTAAGAATTGTATATAATTTTAGTATGTAAACCTTTGTTACCTTATTAAAGATTGTAGTTAGAATTAATGTGTATTTGAATTTTAGGCCTCTGTTTTGGTTTTTTGTTGTAATCTGTGGAAGAAAATCAAATCTAAGTTTTGGCCTCTAAGGTTTCTTATTCTTACGAACTGTTCTACTATACAGATGCAGATCTTTGGGTTGACACTTACAGGGAAGACCATTCCTCTTGAAGTTGAGAGCTACGACACCGTAGACAATGTCAAAGCCCTTATTAAGGACAAGGAAGGGATACCACCTGAGCAGCAGAGTCTTATCTTTTCTGGGAAGAAACGTGAGGATGGTAGGACGCTGGCAGACTATGACATCCAGAAAGAATCCACTCTACATTTGATTCTGCGTTTAAGGGGTGGCATGCAGATATTTGTGAAAACCCTTACTGGCAAGACTGTCACCCTTGAGGTGGAGAGCTCGGACACTATTGATATTGTCAAGACTAAGATACAGGATAAGGAGGGGATTCCGCCTGACCAGCAGAGGCTTATATTTGCTGGAAAGCAGTTGGAAGATGGTAGGACTTTGGACGATTACAACTTCCAGAAGGAATCTACTTTGCACCTTGTTCTTCGATTAAGGGGTGGGATGCAAATATTTGTTAAGACGCTGGCCGGAAAGACTATCACTCTTGAGGTGGAGGGTTCGGATACCATAGACAATGTCAAGGCAAAGATTCAAGACAAAGAGGGAATTCCACCAGAACAGCAGAGGCTTATATTTGCTGGAAAGCAGTTGGAAGATGGTAGGACTTTGGCTGATTATAACATTCAGAAGGAATCTACTTTGCACCTTGTTCTTTGATTGCGGGGTGGGATGCAAATATTTGTCAAGACTTTGACTGGAAAGACTATCACTCTGGAGGTGGAGGGTTCGGTTACCATAGACAATGTCAAGGCAAGGATTCAAGACAAGGAAGGGATCCCACCTGACCAACAAAGGCTTATTTTTGCAGGAAAGCAGCTTGAGGATGGCAGGACTTTGGCAGATTATAACATTCAGAAGGAATCTACTTTGCATCTTGTTCTTCGATTGCGGGGTGGGATGCAAATATTTGTCAGGACTTTGACTGGAAAGACATCACCCTGGAGGTGGAGGGTTCGGATACCATAGACAATGTCAAGGCAAAGATTCAAGACAAGGAAGGGATCCCACCTGACCAACAAAGGCTTATTTTTGCAGGAAAGCAGCTTGAGGATGGCAGGACTTTGGCAGAATATAATATCCAGAAGGAATCTACTTTGCATCTTGTTCTTCGATTAAGGGGTGGGATGCAAATATTTGTCAAGACTTTGACTGGAAAGACTCACTCTGGAGGTGGAGAGTTCGGATACCATAGACAATGTCAAGGCGAAGATTCAAGATAAAGAAGGAATCCCTGCTGACCAGCAGAGGCTTATTTTTGCTGGAAAGCAGCTAGAGGATGGTAGGACCCTTGCTGATTATAACATCCAGAAGGAATCCACCTTGCATCTTGTTCTCCGTTTGCGAGGTGGTATGCAGATCTTTGTGAAGACCTTGACGGGCAAGACCATCACTCTTGATGTGGAGAGCTCTGATACCATAGACAATGTGAAGGCAAAAATTCAAGACAAGGAAGGGATCCCACCTGACCAATGTTGAACAGAAAAAATTCACAAAAAAATTGAAACGCGGGAATGGATAAGTCCCACAATTTTTATACCCGTTATTTGTCACCTCTAGCAAGCAGCAAATTGATGGTAGAGATAAAGCTTAACAGCCATCTACAAGAAAGGAGTTTTGGAAAAAGTTTGGGGTCTAAACCAATGAAAACTCTTAAGAAAGGTTAGTGGCTCCTATTTTTGGGGGAGCTGATTAGTCAGTTTTCAAATGAAACATCCTACACTAAAAAGGTCTCTAACTTATAAAGGGGGCAGCCGGCAGGCTGTAGGGGGGGGACACTCTACAAAAATAAAGGAGGAGGCTTCAAAGAAGAGAAGAAAAGCTTGCAAAGCCACAAAGGCAAAGAAGCACCGCCGAAAGGCTGGAGGGAAAAAAAGACAGAAGCAATCAAAGATGCATCTGCAACAAAGCTTCTCTCTTGAAGTCCTCCATGTTGGGTGGCAACCCGCAAATCAAACAAATGGATGGCAATCCATGTTGGGTGGCAACCCACAAATTGATAATGCTCTGCCGAGCGAAATCTCCATACTCTGCTGAGCAAATCTTCATGCTCTGCAGAGCGAACCTCCATGCTTGGGTACAAAACCCATAAACTAAATCCATTTTGAGTGTCAAACTCATAAACTGAACTCTCTTGGAAGATCCTCTTGTCCTGTGTTTGTTGGGCACCCAGTCACAACAAACAAGGAAAAAAAAATAAAGGAGGAAAGCAGCCCCGTTTTGGGAAGAGGGTTTGGTGTTGTTTGAATACAGGCGCAACATACTAAGAAAAACAGGTAGACGAAGAACAGCCACGCTTGTTGGAGGAACGCTTGGTGTGAGCAATTAAAAAAAAAGATAGATAGACTTGCAGCCACCTTTTGAATTATTGGCTTGGTGTTGCATATAGCAGCAACAAACAAAAAAATGACAGCCACCTAGAAAAGCAGAAGAAGAACAGCAACGAACAAAAAAGAAGAAAAAAGGGCTAGCCACCAAAAAAAAAAAAAAGAGGAAAGAAAGTGGCTGTAAAGGATTGTTCAAAATAGAATAATGGGCTGTCAAAAAGAATTGTCTATTAACTTTCAAAAGCCAATAGTAATTAATGGGTAATCCAAATAATTACTCATTAAATTTACAGAGGCCCAAATTATCTATTATATAGTTCACGGATCAATTTTAAAAATCCTCATAGTCATATTTGGGTCCAAGTGCAAATGTCAATTTTAGAAAATTAGTGAGTTACTCAAAATTGCTCATTATTTTTCTTGAACATTGACATAACTAAAATGATACAAAACCATCCAATTTTTCTCATAGATTATCTACCCATACAAATTTCATTGAGATTAATTTCAAATATCTCAAACACAAATTCTCAATTAGTGGGTTACACTTACCCATTAATTTTCAATTTTTCTCATGGGTCATCTACCCATGCAAATTTCATTGAGATTAAATTCAAATATCTCAAACAGAAATTCTCAATTAGTGGGCTACACTTACTTATTAATTTCCAAATTTTGGAACTACATTGGTTTGATCTCGTCAAAGGTACGTAGGCAGTCTAGCATCTCATTAGACGCAACCACAACCAAATTTGAATCCCTTGTTTTATCCTAACCAAATTCGTCCAAACACTTTCCCAAATGCAAATGTCAATTGTAGAGAATTAGTGGGTTCATCAAAATTACTCATTATTTTTCTGGGACATTAACAATAAGGAGAATGATATAAAACCATCCAATTTTTTCCCATGGGTCATCTACCCATGCAAATTTCATTGAGATTAATTTCAAATTTCTCAAACACAAATTCTCAATTAGTGGGCTACACTCATCCATTAATTTCCAATTTTCCTCATGGGTCATCTAACTATGAAAATTCCAATGAGATTAAATTCAAATATTTCAAACACAAATTCTCAATTAGTGGGCTACACTCATCTATTAATTTCCAATTTTCCTCATGGGTCATCTAACTATGAAAATTCCAATGAGATTAAATTCAAATATCTCAAACACAAATTCTTAATTAGTGAGCCACACTTACCCATTAATTTCCAATTTTCCCCATGGGTCATCTACCCATGAAAATTCTAATGAGATTAAATTCAAATATCTCAAATACAAATTCTCAATTAGTGGACCACGCTTACCCATTAATCTCCAATTTTTCCCATAGGTAATCCCTAAATTGTCTCAAAGACACAAATTCTAAATTATTGGACCACACTTACCCATTAATTTCTAATTTTTCCCATAGGTTATCTATCTATAAAAATTTTCAAATCGTCTCAAAGACACAAATTCTAAATTATTTGGCCAAACTTAGCCATTGATTTCCAAATTTTGGAACTACGTCGGTTTGATCTCATCAAGGGTATGTAGGCAGTCTAGCATCCTAATAGACGCAACCGCAACCAAATTCTCGCCAATCAAATCTCCACACAAATCAATTAAGAACTACGTTGGTTTGATCCCTTTAAGAGAGTACGTAGGCAATCTAGAGATTCAATCTAGATGCAATCATCCCAAACACAATTCCATATCGAATCTCTGGTTCATTCAACTAACTTCACTCAAACACTCCTCAATCAAATTCATTCAAATTCCTCCTTTTGCGATGAGTCATTTATTCGTTGCAAACCTTTGAACTACGAGTGGCTTGATTCCTGCGAGGGATGC